CAAAGATTTCGACTAAAATCTGCCGAGTAACCCTTACTTACTACAAAATGTCATACACTTCGGAATGCCATTAAGTATAACAAGAATGACGACGGAAATCTACTTCTAAGTCTAAATGGATGAACTGACCAAGAATGTCAGGGGGACACTTTCACGCAGACACGACCGGACTGATCTAGGTAATTAACAACGCGAAAATAAGATACGCGGGCAGAGGGTAATATGCTTTTTTATTAGGGGGGCTTGGCAGATTTGAATAATTCAGTTGACCCAATGGTGAAAAAAACTCGTGGCCTCGGTGCCAAGCCCTCCTAATGATGAAGTGTGCCTAGTAGTCATTCTGGTGGATTCTATACGATTGCTTAGAAAATCCTGCCTGGGTAATCAGCTTAATGTATCCATAGTGGTAGATTCCATATGAGCAGTAGGTTGGGTGGGTAAATCGACCAAGTGTGATTGAATTCACGGCTCACAGTGAGCCTCGTAGCTCAATGTTAGAAAGTTGGCTGCCGAAAAGCCTTCCCTGCTCTGTGCGTTCGACTCCCATCGAGGCCGCGAGGTTTTCGCAAATTGGTCAACTGAATATGTCCCTTGTCGATCGCAGGAAGATCATGACCAAACGTGGAAAACGAAGTGCACTTTTGAAAATTTCACCCCTTTCAGCTGCCTCACGGAGCATTTCGTTGGCAACACTGGACATGCTACGTTTTTCTATCACTGCTTACAGTAAGTGGCCTAACTCGCGAAACGTCAACTAAAATTCCATACGATTATTTAAAGTAGAAACGATTAGCACAATGGGGGTGAACTGCCGATTATCATGCAAAATATTCTACACATTAGCTTTTGAAGGCATGTCTCTTCAACAAACTGCACGCAACGGCTACCCAGGAAATATGCAATCTTCTCCGTTAATTCCCAAAACCTTTGCAAATGTGGACACGTTTTATAGAAAATTTGCACAAACTTGCCGTACCGTTTTTGCAACGGGAAATGTTTTTTTT